AAATCTAATGAATATGTCTGGGAATGGATTTTAAGGGTATGGGATAATGGTGGAAGGAAAATAAAATTGGATCAGGCTGAGTTTATTGACATGGGCCCCCTGACTGGAGATTCTAGGTTTAGTATGGAAGCTCGTGCTGTTAAAAAGGGTGTTAAAAGTTTATTTGATTGGTTGGCTGAGGTATTTATCAAGAGATGGCCTACTGACAGAGAGCTGGAAATACCTGATATCCCTTGGCTTAGTGTTGATGAAGGGATTGTAAGACTCAGGCAAATTGGTATGCTCGAGTGGATTCGTAGTGCAACATCAAATCCTCCACAATGTGAGGGCCCAGAGGACATTCCTATTACTGATTTTATAAGATGGAAAGTACTGAGAGAGACACCAGAACGTTTGAAGAGCTTTGTTTTTGCTCTTTTCCTTATGCCGAATCTTACAGTTGGAGATGCTGCTGCTCAACTGCATAAATTAAATGTAAATATAATATAACTCCTGACCTCGGAGTAGGGGTCAGGTGGCAGTATTGAATTACCAAAGACAAGGTGAGCATACTTATCGTAATGGGCGGCAAAGGCAAAACAATACCTACAATGGCATGACTCGAATGGACCTATGGTACTGGCTAATTAATCATGGTGTTTCCAGGGACCCCATATATAAGAAGCCTACTAAGTTTTTTTTTCATCTGTATAAGCAGAAAAGCTCTAGGACGAATGACAGGAAGTCAGTATTGGATTGTAGCAACAGAGAATCTTGCTCAGTCAACCAATTTCCAGACTTAGGACAGTTTACAGACCCAGAATACCTTGAATGAAGGGAAGGCTGGGTGCCCTTGAGGAAGGACTTTGTCACAGTATCAAGTTATGCTGTTCGCCTCTCACCCATTCTTCCCCAGAGTGGTCTGCACCCTTTTAGTAAAGTAACTGTACATTGGGGGAAAGGAAATAATCAGACATTCCACAGCCTATTGGATACTGGTTCTGAGTTGACACAGATTCCAGGAGATCTTGAAAAGCATTGTGGCCCTCCAGTTAAAGTAGGGGCTTATGGAGGCCAGGTGATAAATGGAGTTTTGGCTGAAGTCTGACTGACAGTGGGTTCAGTGGGTCCTAGAACTCATCCTGTGGTTATTTCCCCAGCACCAGAATGTATAATTGGGATAGATATACTTAGGAATTGCCAGAATCCCCACATTGGTTCCCTGACCTGTGTAGTGAGGGCTATCATGGTT